TATAATTTTTAAAAATCGCGCCTGTCAATAATTGTGCATGTTTTGGCTTTCTAAGCTGAATCTAGCTTTGCTGAATCCATCAAGGCGGAACTTCAGATGGGCCCAGTAGCCGTTTTTCGGCCTAAAAAAACTAGTGTTAATTTCGACAACGCCAGGAAAAGGAGGCAATATTATTGGGACTGCTTCCTTTTCTAGAAAATTCCGAGGCCATGGGTGGCCTCCACCGGTTTTTTTTTTCATTTGCAGCTCTTTTTCTGCCATTTTTTACGCCATTTGGGAAGCCAAGCTTGACAAGGAAATCCAGATGGATTGAGGAAATAGCTGTAAAGAACAGAAGTTTCTATCAAAAAAGGGTAAATAACTTTAGAAAAATAAATAGAAACATTTCACTTCACCTGAGAGCGGAGTCCAGACCTGGTGGTGGAGATCGGGACTTAAGATGGGAGTCGGAGCCTCGGGGTTGACTTCCTGCCCTAAGGGTGAGGTCAAGACCTGGGATTTCGTAGTGAGGCAAGACTGCGAATAGTGGAGTAGAAGGATTGGACTTAGGTGTCATGTACGAAGGGACATTTTACTATGCAGCCTGTGTTTCATCCCTTAGCTGTAAACACAGACCGGACTGTGCATGCGGGTAAAAGTGGGAGTCGTCAGTACAGCCTCCTACCCGCCATGTATTGAAAAGACATATAACTACTTGCAAGACGGAGATGTGAAAGAAAAAGAGGGAGAGAGAGTAGAAAAGTGGAACAGCATGAAAGTAATAAGAATGTGGAGGAAACTAACATATGATATGGGTAGTAATTCTATGTAGTTATGAGGAGGCAATCTTCATGAGAATAACGTACTAACTAGGTGTTTAGTTCCTGCATCATCGGAGTAGATGAATTTGCTCAGTATTGATCGGTTCCTGAAACAAAATCTTAGAACAGAGCGTTCTACTTTGGTAGTATCAAACTTTTTTTGTCTATGGATATTTATAAGGCGTCTAGCCCAGTCAAGAAACCCCTCTGGGAGGGTGGAAACGCGCGCATACCGAAGTAACTGTGACATAATAACACTTTCTTGTACTGTATGGTCCATATCGCTATCAGGATGGCCACTGTAATTAACTGTGAATGGGTTGTCCAAGGTCTTGTTGTACGTGCCACAAATGC